CAGGGAGTTCCAGCTATGTGAAGCATCTTCTTTTAATCTGGGTCTACTGCCCGATTCCCATGTTTCTGACCTGTGGTAGCTCTTTTGCAGAGATCATTCAGATGTGTTTATGTGAAGTTTAGGTGTTTTTTGTTGAGTTTAAATGTTCAGCTTATTGTCATTTCATGGAGAGAGATCTGGGGACATCTATCACTCTGCCATGCTTCTGACATCACTCTCTGCATATGTCTGTTTGAGTTAGTGTTTCGGTTTCTTCAGATAAATATCCAGAAGTGGGATTGCTAGGTTCTTCTTTCTTTGTCATAGACTTTGTTTTAATGTCTATTTTGTCTGATATATGTATTGCTACTCCAACTTTTTAAATTTACATTTACATAAAATATCTTTTTCCTTCCCTTTATTTTCAATCTGTGTGTGTCTTTCAATCTGAATGGGTCTCTTGTAGGCAGCGTATGTATTAGTCTTGCTTTCTTATCCATTCAGCCACCCTACATCTTTTGATTGGATCGTTTTATCCATTTACACTTAAAATAATTATTAATAGGTTTATAGTTATTGCCATTAGTCTATGTGAATGATTATCTAGGAGTTTCATATTGCACAGCCTATTTGGCCATACATTGTAAAGTGTCATCTTCTTGTTCTTTTTTATTGATAGATGATTAGTGAACAAATTCTACACACTGATCACAATAGCTTAGAACAAAGACAGTGCTTAATATAGCCTATGCAGTCAACATAATAAAAAATCTTTGTCCCAAATCTGAATTTGTATATGGTAATGTTTTATACACTTCCATTCAAAATATTTTTGTATTAAGGCTTTTTGTGGCAAACGACAAAAAGCAAATTTGACAAACTTAAGTGAAAGAAGTTTAGTAAAAGGATACCGAAGGCTCATAGAATTTATGATAGTCTAGAAGAACAGGAGGATCCAAGAAAGCAAGAAGCAGGAAATAAAAATCAGAGCCTCTGATTTTAAAGTAGAGTTCACCTGTTCAGAAGTTATTTCTGGTTTTCCAGTTCTATTGCCATTACCACCATGGCTGCTGCTCTGGTAAGTATCATGTCCAAATAGGCTTTCTAACTTTATTACTTTCTTCAAAATTTAAAATCCAGAGAAAGGGCTTCTGTTTAACTGAGATTACGTAGCCAACCTTCTGATTTCTCAGGTCCAATAGTCAGATGTATGAAATTGGGCAATGGGAAATGGGTGCTCAGAATTATTGTCACACAAATATTACACATAATGAGGAAGCGGTAAATCTCCAGAAGGAAATTGGGATAGTATTAGGAAGGATGTGGCTTATGGCAGCTAAAAAATACTCCAGTCTGACAAATATCTACGATAAAACCTCTTCCATGTCAGTTAGGAGTTCCACTCACATTACCTATTGCTCACTTTTGAGAATGCTCTTAACATTTCCTGATATAAACTAGTCTGGTAGTTTTATGTTTCTGGTACTGATGGAGTCAAATACAATAGCTTGGTTATTAGAAAAGTAAAAGTCTTAAATATCAGACATATTTCTGTGGAAATATTGGGTTAGCATCTCACTTCAATGCTGTACATATTCTTCATAGATTTTTCACACACGCACACACACACAAAATACTCCAATAAAGGTTTCACTATTCCCTATGCATGAACCTGAGAACAGAAGTGTCAAGTTGCCCGATATTATCTAGTGTTACATTCTTTTAACTAAATCTGCCTAGGTGTCACTTAGAAATGGCACTGCTTCAAAAGGTGTCATTTTTTTTCACAATAAGTTAGAAGAGCACCGAATGGCCCAGTGATTGATTTACTTCCTCATCTTCTGTCCTGATTCTATACTTTCCTTATCTTTACTTGAATTTCAGTACAGCTTTTACTTTAATAACCTGATATAAAAACTAATTTACACTGGAATTTGGATTCCTAGGACTGGTTCCTCTTTGTTTCTTAAAATCATTAAATATATGGCTCAATACCTTATTTTACCTATTTCATACCTTTTGAGGTATAGCAATTTTATTATGTTCCTGAGTTATGACTCCACCTTCTTCTGTGCTTCAGATTATTCTAGGCTAGGGCCTTTCTTCTTGGCCAAAGTGGTATGTCAAGAGTTTCTTTTCATTGCCCTTGCAGGCAACTTATATATCTTTATCCAGCATGTTTTCATCCATTCTGATCTTTTGCTGCCCTCTAGTGTCCAGTAATTGCTTAACTTCATTTGAGACATCACTGTTCAATCAGTCTATCTATCATCTATCTATCTATCTATCTATCTATCTATCTATCTATCTATCTATCTATCTATCTACCATCTACTTATTCATTCTCTCAGGTTATGTCTACAAAAGGGAAGAGAAGGAGGAGAAACAAACTCTAGAAAACACATGAACGCAGGTACATTTTTAAAAAAATCATTCAAAATTTAGGAAAAATATTATTTACAATCTTTGGTGGAACAGAACCATTAGCTCTACTGATGGGGGTTTATTTCCTTTTTATTTATAAGAAATTAGCAAAAATTTAATCATACAGAATGGAATTCTGTTGTACCATAGTAGCTTACTTTAATAGTCCTAGGAATATTCAGGTAGATAACAATGTATATAAACTAAAACAAAGGCTAACCTCATCTGTTTTCCCAACAATATATTATTACTAGTATTTTACTATTATTACTACTACTGATACAACTACTACACTATTACTGCCACCATATTAATCTAATAATAACAATTAGCATATAATAAGCACTAACTTTATACTAAGACAATGTGCTAATTAAAAAAGATCTCATTTACTCCTCAAAACAACTCTCTGAGACAGATACTATTATTAGCCCTAACTCACAGATAAAGAAATCAAAGCTTTGAAAGGTTAGATGACTTGTCTAAGTTGTTTAGCTAGTTAGGGGCAGATTTGGGATATGAGCACAAGCAATCTTTTTTCAGTCTTTTTTTTTTATTAGTTTCAGGTATACAGTACATTGGTTAGACATTTGTATAGTTTATGAAATGATCCCCTAATTATTCTATCACTCATCTGGCTCTACACATAGCCATGACAATACTAATGACTACATTCTCTATTCCATACTCCCTATCCCCATGACTCTGAGAGTCCAAACGCTTAACCCTTAACCCAACCATTGAGGACAATGAAACCACTGCAGGAAATGTTGCACATTGCTCTCCTAGTCTTCTTCTAGGAGTTTTAAAATTTCAGGTCTTACAATCCAGTCTTTAATCCATTTTGAGTTGATTTTTCTGTATGGTGTAATATAAGGGTTCGGTTTCATTCTTTTGCATTTGTCTATCCAGTTTTCCCAACATTATTTATTGAAGAGACTATCCATTGCCCATTGTATATTTTTGGCTCCTTCGTCATAATTTAATTTATTTTCCCCCTTGAATGTACCATTTTTTCTTGTGTCTTTGCATGCCTTGAAATTTTTTTTTGTTGAATATTATTACATTATAGCTCTGGAAATCAGTTTTTCCTGCTCCCTGCAATTCATGATTGCTGCTTCCTATAGGTAGTTTTTTCTTGCTTTTGGGGGGACTTATTTATAGTATTTCTCAAATTCTGTATTCTATGTGGTCTCTAAAGTCTATGTTTTTCTGCTTATTGGTCAGCCAGTATCTTGACAGTTACTTCAAAAGCCTGGCTTCAAAGAAAGAAAATAAAATCTCTCTCACTCTTTGCTAATTGGCTCTGTATTGGAGTTCTTTAACACTAGCCATGCCATAGATAAAGCTTGCCTTAGATTTTACTTCCTGATTTCATGGAGCCTAAAGGCCGTCCAGAGGTATAAATTTAGTTTATTCTCTTACTTTTTCTGAAAATGGATATAGCACAGACATCTACATGGACTTCCTAATTCTCCTGTATGTTCTGGAGCTTTAAAGGCCATAATATTCCCATCTATCTTCTTTCCTAACCTCTTCTTTCTAAGGCATTTTGGGCTGTCTGTCGCTTGTACACACTGTTACCTTTTACTTCAGACTGCTTTATTCAACACTTCTGCATTTAAATGCTCTCAATGAATGCCACATTGGAAGCCATAGCAGCCATGGGAATCTTATGAGTTGGGCAAAAATAAGGCAAGCCTTTGCACCAGTCGTTCACACAGGATTAAACACAAAACCACAATTTTTTTTTTTTTTTGAGAGAGAAAGGTCTCTTTTACTCTCTTTGACACTAGCAACCTGTACTAGGACAGTGGGCTGTTATTTTCATGGCAGCTGCCAATTGGGGGGATAAGAGATGGTAAATGGAAAATTTAAAAAGTGTGTTCTCTCTTACTGCAATGTAGCAGCTACATTCTTTGTTTAATTCTCTCCCCTGGTTGTAATTTTTGACTAGATAATAGAGTTTTGTAGAAATTAATTCTGACAGCATTTTCCAGCTTATTTTTTGCTTTTTTTTTTTTTTTTTTTTTACAGGGATGGAGCCCTTGTTTTCCCTATTCTTTTATTTTTGATGATGTCACTTCCTAGGCCCATTTTTAAGTCTCATATTGACTCTTATTTATTTCATATATAATTTTAACTCTTGTTTTCCCAATGTAACCTTAAGGGAAAAACTTATAAAAGAAATAACTTTGTGCAATTAACATTCTACTTTCTCAATATCATTTTGAACATTATGTATAGCTGGGCTATTTAAATCTTCCCCTATTCTTTCTCTTCCTGATGCTTTTTAAACGTTTTCTTATCGAAGAGGCTAAGTAGTTGGCACATATATAATAGTCTAGGATAAGAGTATTTACAAAAGTCCTAAATTTTTTTATTACAGAGGGTAGATTTCAAAAATTTTGAGTGGTAGTGAATTCTTTACTGTGCTTTTGCTAGTGTCTCTGAGAAAGGCTATATTGGAGTCAATGTTTGGTTTTCAGCCTTTATTTTATCATTCAGATAAGTTGATCTTTGAGTGTTCTGTCTCCTATATTTCAGAACTACCTCTTAAATGTATTATTTTGGCATATCAAAAATTCCTCATAATGGCACTCGCTTTGGTAGTGCATATACTAAAATTGGAACAATACAGAGAAGATTAGCATGACCTCTGCGTAAGGATGACACATAAATTTGTTAAGCATTCCATATTTTTAATAAATCAGGCAGAAAAAGTTGAAAACATATGATTTCATTCATATGTGGGATATAAAACTGAAAACAACAATATAACAATCAAACAAAGACTCATGGACATAGACAGTGGATTAGTATTTACCAGAGGATAGAAGAACAGAGAAGAGGTAGATAGGGGTAAAAGGGGTCAAATATTTGGTGACAGAAGGAAATATAACTTTGGATGGTGCACACACAATGCAATATGTATACGGCAAACTTTTGAATTGCATGCTTGAAACTTATTTGATTTTATTAATCAACGTCACCCCGAAAATTTTTAATAAAAATAGCCAAATATTTTTATGATAATAATCATGATGTCCAATCCCCCCCCCCAAAAAAAAGTTTCCCATAATGGCCATTATAATTTTAAGTCTTAAAAATGTTTTCATTTATCTAGGTAAGTAAAAACTTAGCATTATAATGAAGTATATATAAAACCAGTTTTGGGTCCTAGGCCTGGCTGGTCCCAGGTCTTGCTGTGATCCAGGCTCATGGCTAGGAAAAGGACCTGGAATTAGAATGTTACATTAGTGTAGTAGGATACCTGTACCTAACTCATGTAAGCATGATTCAGCTTATTGTATCACACATATGTGGCAGAATGCCATTATTATTCTCGGACATATATAAAGCCCACGCAGTCCCCTAATGGAGCAGAAGTGAACTTCTACAATAAAGTACGTGCCTGCTATTTCATTCTCATGTTGGTCCCTCATATATTCTTTCAACTGGGAGTCTCACCACTGAAAACTTCCTATCTCAATCAGCTAGTTGCTGACTCGTGGTGTAGCCAACAGGATGAGGTGAGTACAGCCTCCAGCACAAGACAATCCTGGGGTGGAAGATACCCGGGTGGGGGACATGTGGCCCCCCACCTCCCAGTGGTATCCTGTGGCAGCATATTGAGATGGAGTGAAGCCATGTCCAGAGGATGTCTGGAAAGCCCTGAAGATGTTGGAACCGAATGTCCTGACCACTCACCAGGATGCAGCGGGTTGTGTGGCCTGGATATTCCTAGCGGTGCTGCAGCAGGCCAGCCTGGAGGTTCAGGACCAGGCTCAGCAGGTTGCAGCAGCTACAATGTCAGGAAAAAGTACTGGAAAGTCGGCTGGTGGCAGCAGAACGCATGGTGCAGGACCCTGACGGGTCACTGCCATCATCCCAGTCTGGGAGCCCGCTGGCAACACTGCAGCAGGTGCAGCTGGTGATATGGTGGCAGGTCAAAGTGGAACAGCCGTTGGCAGGGGGGTTGGGAAGTGGAGAGGGTGGTAGGGGGCAAGCTGGCGGTGCCCCCCAAGTCAAAATCATAACATCTTGATTCAGTACACCCCCGTCGAACTCAAGGACCTGACGAAACAGGTACGGCAGAGAGCCAGGAATACGGTTCTTGGGTGGCTGCTGCGGCTGTTGGTATACGAGACTGAAGGGACTGAATTATTTCCAGAAGAGATGGCTCAACTGGCCTCTATAACAGTGATACCGTTTCTCAGGTAGTGCCTCTAGAATGTGGTGCATATGGCACGGGTCACAGGCAATCATTCCCTGATTGTCTCATGTCTGCTGCACAGACAGTGGGCCGACTGAGGGGAGCTGCCAGAGACAGTGAGCAGATGGGCCACATACTTATATCTGGTCCAGGGAACTTGGGAAATGGGCATGCGGCAGATGATGTTTCGTGCCCAGTATACTAGCCCCAATGAAGAGGTATTTACAACCCATATGAATGACTTGATTTTGACTTCTGGCCCTACGGGTACTTTTAGCACCACAGCGGCACTGCTGACCTCTTACGTAGGTAGGTGGATCCATGAAGTGATATCCTCCATGGCTAGGTTGGGGATGTGGAAGTGAAATGCAAGGAGTGTTCAGCCTAAGCGAGCTCTGTACGCACCACCGCCCCCCGCCCCGCCCCGCCCCGCATTCCCAAACCGGCCAGTGCACAAATGGAGGCATGGCCTAAAAGGAGGAGTGGAGCAGCCCCCAGCTCGTTCATCCATGAAAGTGAGCCGCAGGCGGATGTGGTTTGATTTCCTCACAGCAGGTGTCGCAGTAACCTAATGAAGTGCTGCTGGTTCTGTGGAATCAGCTGTGCCCTGACCAGCAATTCACTCTTATTTCCAGGAAAGCCAGAACCTGTGAGATGTGGCTGGTCAATTATCTCCCTGATTAGAGATTCAGCTGGGACACCCGGTTACCGGGGGAGCTGGTTGATCTGAGGCCATGTGTGGAACTGACTATACATTGGTCCTCTTGCAATGTACAGACGGTATTAGACCTCGTGGACATGGGTGCTGACAGTACACTGCTTAATGGGAATCCAGACAAGTTTCCCAAACCCACTGAAACCATAGAAGCCTATGAGGGTCTAATCATTCATGTGCAGCAGGTCCTGCGACACTGGGTATTGGCAGACCGCCTCCTCGGACATACTAAGTGTACATATCCCCCATATAGGAGTACATTTGGGGAATTTATGTTTTGCGAGGCTTGACTGTGAATATCATTGCTAGTGAATTCTGCCTTCACATCCAGGTGATGAAAACTATTATCTGGGACGTCCACACCATGCCCCATTGGTGTTGCCCCAGGCTACCCAGTTAGTCAACACAAAACAGTATTGCCTGCCTAGTGGCCATGAGGAAATAGGACTCACTGTTATGGAGCTGGAAAAAGCCGGTGTATTCATTCTGCTCATAGCCCATACAACTCCCCCTCGTGGCCAGTGAAGAAGCCCGATGACTCCTGGCACATGACAGTTGACTAATGGGAGCTGAGTAAGGTTACGCTGCCCCTACATGCTGGACCGGTTGTCACATAAACTTGGACAATACCATTATGTGATGGACTTGGCAAATGCCTTTTTCTCTAGTTCCATAGCCCCAGAAAGTCAAGAACAGTTTGCTTTCACCTGGAAAGGGCAACATTGGACATTCCTCATCTTTTCCCAGAGCTATCTGCATGGCCCTACCCTGTGCCATCTTATGGTTCAAGGTTTAGCCACGTGAAAACAATCACCTGCAGTGCAGTGCTCTCGTACCATTGCAATGATGATATAATGCTAACCTCTGATTCTCTTACAGAACTACAAGCAGTGACAACCAGCGTGTGAGAAGCTCTTGCCGACTGGAGCTGGGCAGTCAACGAGGACAAGGTCCAGGGACCTGGGTTCTCTGCCAAATTCTTGAGAATTGTCTGGTTGGGTAAGAAAAAAGTAACGCTGGAGGCAGTGATTGGTAAGATACAGGCATATCTCCGACCTGAAACTGTGAAGAAACTTCAAACCTATTTGGGACCGCTGGGGTGTTGGAGAGTGTTCATTCCCCATTTGGACTCCTTGATGCGACCTTTGCACTGTCTAATGTGACAGGATGCTCAGTGGGATTGGACCCCCGAGATAGAAGAAGCCTTTAAGGCTACAAAGCAAGCTGTAGCACAAGCCTAAATTCTACACATAGTAGATCCAGCCCTCCCATTCCTCCTTACAGTGCAGGTGGATGATGCAAGATTTGGATGGGGCTTGTGGCAGAAGCATGGTTCCTGGAAGGTACCAATAGGCTTATGATCCTAGTTATGGAAAGGAATGGAAGCATGGTGTTCTCTGATAGAGAAACAACTGGCTGCCATATATGTAGCCTTTCTGGGCAGTGAGGCCATCACTGGCCCTAGTCCCATAACCGTTCAGTCCGCATACCCTGTGAAGGGGTGGCTGTAGTCCTGGGTGAAGACTCCCTGTACAGGAATTGCACAGATCCCTACACTGGCCAAGTGGATGGCATATCTGGAGCAGTGGGCACAGTTCTCTGTGAGTTCCCTGTTAGGTCAACTGCACTCCCTATTGGGACCAGAGCAGTTTCAAAGAGAGCTCTGGGTGGAGCCTGCTGAGATGAGAAATGTACTGAGTCCCTATGTAGATGGTCGAACTCCCATTGCCGAGGATGCCTGGTACACAGATGGCTCATGCCATGGACAGTCTCCAATGTGGGCTGCCGTGGCATTGCAGCTGTCCACATAAACCTTTTGATATGAAACTGGTACTGGGCGGTCCAGCCAATGGACTGAGCTCCGAGCTGTGTGTTTGGTCCTCATGAATGAAACTGGCCTAGTGCACATCTACACCAATAGTTGGGCTGTGTATCGAGGTCTAACTCTGTGGCTGTGCTGGTGGGCTGCCCAGGATTAGATGATAGCTCACTGCCCCCTATGGGGCTGTAGATTGTGGGAAGACCTCTGGAAGTGGAGCCTTCAGCAAGGCCCACCATATACCATGTCCCCGGCCATTACCTGTTACAGGCCCCAGGCAATGATGCAGGCGATGCGCTGGCACAAGTTCACTCTGCCTATGTACCGCTGCTGGTTCCAGCAGACATTGGACCCTGGCTCCACCAAAAGCTGGGACATGTAAGGGCCCATAGCATGGAACAGGTAGCGAAGCAATGGGGGCTATTGTTGACCTGGGCACAAGCACAAGTTGCTGTGTCACAATGCCCCTGGTGTGCTGAGCAGCACCCAGAGAGACGGCAGGTAAAAAATACCCCAAGGATGGTGCCCCACTGGGCTAAGCCATTCCAGGAATGGCAAGTGGATGATATAGAGCCTTTCCCACAGAACAGGGACACCACTATGTGTTCACAGATATGGATACAGCCACCAGACTTGGGTTTGCAGGGCCAGTGGCAGCTGCTGATTATGCTGACCAGGCACAGGCAGACCTCCAGGAATTGAATGCTAAAGTCTCAGCCATTTATGTCCCGGAGAAGACCCCTTGAAAACTTGGTGGAATTCCTTGGGGTCCTCCTGGAGGTGGGCAGTAGCTACCCTAGCCCTTGTAGCCTGTAGCCTGGTAGTGTTTTATTGTTCTTTATATTGTTATTGTGGATTGTGGGCCAAAGGTAGTGTCCTCCTGACCAGATCCCATGTCATGACCCTGTAGGGGTCGAGTGTAGGTCCCAGGCCTGGCTGGTCCCAAGTCTGGCT